CGTTATCCTTTTCGGTCTAGGCGCGTAGGGATGATCCGATCAACAACAACGTTTAGTCAAAGGACTGTATACCCGATAAAGAAACTCGAYAATCTAAAAAGGGGGCGGTTTTGATTTCGGACCCAGGGAAATCGAGGCTGATTGTGCTGATGAATAAGTGCACACTGAACCAGAACACATAGAGAACTCTTGGTCACCAAACTGGAACTTTTAGAGAACTCTTGCCTATTCAACTGGAACGTATAGCACACTGAGTTTTTGAAGCAATTTAGAAAATTCGTGGTCGTCATGTATCGGAGATATAGATCCGAGCCGAACTACCGATACAAAACGACCACTCRTGTTCTAAACATYATATAGAACCTTACTTTCTTGGATGTCACAAATGGCGTTATATTTACATACTGCWCGATTTTTGTTAATTCGCCAGCAGAAAGATCCTGTTAAGAAAGAATTATTTAAATAAGCGATTAAGAGACTTTTTAAATCACAAAATTTTAAATCCACAATTTAATGCGTATTTTTAATTCGAAAAGAAAAAAATAGTCTTCAAAAAGCTTTTWAAAAAATCAATTGCATGCCATAGTTATTAAGGGGTCTAAGGGCACGCGCATGCTCGTWGGCTCAACTTGAGCGTTCAATAGTGGGCAGTCACTTTATATGCTATAACAGAAGAACTGACAAAGAACTAAAGAGGGTATTAACAAYATTGGAATGCATGAAGCATTAAGGTCTACGTTATTGATATACTGATTCTGCTTTCTTGTAGCGAGTGGGTACATAATTGGTTAACGTAAAACTCTTCGCAATGTGAAAGAACAGCTTTCATTTAATTTGGGCGTCGCTGAATGTTTCCCATTTTTCAAGTTTTTTAGTCGGTGTCAAAGATAACTGCATATTTTTCGTTTCCCTTCTTCATAGCACTACTGCCAGAATGTTTCAATGAATTCAAATGTTTTATGCCCTTTGGAAGTTGCTGAGGACGACAGTCTTTTGTTGAATCAGACCAATCTAGGGACATACGGCGATGAAAATGATTCTGATAGTAGTGGTATTCCGAAAAAATGATATACCTCTTGTGAGTACTGAATCAAATGTATGTCGGCAAACAGTCTACTGGCGCTGACCAAAAACATTAAGTGCCTGTGGAAAGTAATTTTAAAAGCAAATTGAAGTTAGTTTTTTATGTATCTGTCCCTTTATTGAAGATGAATTGCATCACCACATTGTTCTAAATGTATCAAAGTTTTAAATATTTGTCACATTATATAAAATTCATTCCGGTGTTGAGAAAAAATCTGAGTGGATGTGGTATTGCAGTGTAGTGTGAGAATGTTTTAAGGGACATATTTCCACGATCGCGTCTGTACCGTCCCCTTTCCAACTCGACCCAGTTTTTTCCTCAATCTCGGAATGGTTAATATGGCAATAGGTTTTACAACGTACAGTTCGTCATTGATGTCGAATTCTTGTGGAGTCGGTGGTCTCTTTGGACTCTTCCAAAAYGGAGCTGCAAACGAGTAAATCAGTAGACTGTTTAAGACCATGGGTCGGGGTGTATGTAGTATATAATAATAATGATATCTATATAGAGAGCGCTCTTTTCCATGCATATGTTCAAAGGCGCTTTACAATGAGTTTTTGAACGAGAGGTGGTTAGTATGAGGTTTAGGCACTGAGGGTGGTCACTGCCAGGGTTTCTTCACGTCCTCAGTGGTTCTTTTACGTCCCTCCAATATTGGTTTAATTGAAAAAACGTAGTCGGGTTCGAGAAGGTCATATCATCGCAGCTAAGACCGAAAAGGATTTTGGGTACTCCGAAATGTGCATTATATTTGCATATAGACATGTAAAAATGCACAGAAATGCACCGTAAAGCAAAGTCGGTCGACCTAGATTAACAACATGCCAAAGCCATGATGCATAAAATGTGCACAGGAAGGGAAAACTGCAATATGCATGAAATTAGCATAATTATTTGTCTTCCCATGCTCCCTTTCGATCTTAGCTATGATGATATAACCTTTTTTTGGACCCGACAATGTTTTTTCAATTAGGTGCATATACTTTTATAGTTATAGTTATAGTTAATTACTCCTCAAGTGGCCATTAGGACGATAAAACTAGTACGATAAATTAGATATTAGTAAAGAAAACACAAATATTTAACAGTTAGACCTGCATGGTCTACGAGTCAATAGCTCATAAGGACAGTTGGGTTTTGGACCGGTTGATCATGAAGGTGAGAGGTCTTATTGTTTTAGTATAAACTTATTCATTGGTCCAAAAATAGATACAAACAATTTTGAAATTAGGTTAAAATTATTTATTTATTTTGCGTTACTTTGGTTTTCAAGACCAGCATTTTTCAGTTGGCTACTAGTGGTCTATCACAAGTAGATCAGCCAATTAGAGCGCAGGATTTTTCACAGATCATTAGTAGGTTTATACTAATGTCCTTTAGACCTAGCATCTTTCTAGATCTTGATATTGGAATTTACCGACCACGCGTATCCATCAAGAAAGGTCTATCGAAGTAAAAAGAATAATTCTCGATACCCACTTGATTAATTAAATTACATTCATGTTTATTTTTACTTACAGCCATCGCTTAGCTTCGTATCTTGAGGGAATGCAAGGAGAAGATGCTTTGCCTTATAAACAAACAAACAAAAAAAGTACAAATATTTGTTTCAGTTGTCGTTATCAATTATTTCAAACGAGATAGGTGGTCAAAATAAGTAAATATCTTCACTTTGAGGATATTGTTCAAGGGCCTTGAGTGTAAAAAATCTCGTTAGCATAGCACTGGTAGTAATAGACTATTTTCCAATTAGTCAAATACCGCTGTGTTCCTTGATCACGGACTCGTTTATACAGGGTTAGCCTCATTTCAATGTCCAAATATTCACATGATAAAGTAAAAAATRTACAAACACTTTGAAATTCCACGCACCTTCACTGGAAAGCATGACTATTCAAAGTAGCCGTCATGTGTTGGATTGTGTTACGGTCACCGAAGTTCGGACATTGYTCTCGGATTTTCATACGAATGTACTTACTTTCAATGAACTATTTACTTGGTTTGTTTAGTTAGTTCTCTAAACACAAGTAAAATATCATTTTTCTAACTTGATTGAAGCTTTTCTTGCTGCTGTTAAGATAGCTAACTAAAGAAATCTATCTATATTTTCTCYTYAAACTCAGTGAATTTGTATGGGAATCATCATYCCTCGACATCCCTCTTAGTATAATGAATTGTTGATAGGAGGGACTGCCATTCCAAGTGGTCATCCGTGCCACTTGAAAGTCTAACCATTTGTAGATAATTAATTGYGAAGGCAGCATTTTCTTCTCCGTTATTCTAAGACCCCGAATGTTCGGTCCGGCCGCCAAGGCTTGAACTCACAACCTTCCACGCTTCAGACCGATACTCAACTAACTGAGCTAACCAGGTGGTAGTACTAATACTARAGACAAATCTCGAAATGTTTTCCTACTAAAGTCAGTACATATTCGTTTTACACCAAAAGGAAATTTTAACTTAAAGTGGAAGGTTATCATCTCCTTGCCAACCATCAAACTTTAATTATTATTTCATTAATAATATGAGGACGGAAACCACTTTACCTTATGATTAAAATACTTTTCAAACTTGTTTCTTGCAAATGCGACGCAGTCAGACCATGACTGAGGACGATTCTTTAACATTTTTGTCACAATTACAAGCCCCTCTATTTCATCAAGGGAATCAATGTTCTAAAAGAGAGAGTTAGTTAAAGCGATAACAACAACAACTACGATAATGGTCAAACTAGTCAAAGACCAGAAAAAACGAATCTAGTTTTACCTTAATGAAGTTTTCCAGTGTTTTATGTTGCGCCCAAAATTTATTGAAGAACTCAACTTTTTGGACAAATAAATTTTCAAACTATTGAAAAAGAAATAAAAAGCCATTAGTTCTGTCTAGATCACGGTAAATTTTAACAAGAAAACGCGGCCGTCAGATCTTATTTAGATTTTAATGTGCAAACTTACAACGCACGAACAAAAATTTTAAATCGATTTCCAAAAGTAGGCAGTCACCTTAATGGTTTGTCAGCCGAATTTTACTGACTTAGTTTACTCGATTGAATACTTATCAACTCTTCAACTGGCTCTTGCTCAAAAAATCTATTTATTTACAGGATTTGGTTCAAAGAACTCAACAAATTAACAAAGAGCTCAAGTCAAGCTATTATYACTAAAGTTACCTTATCTCTTGCCCATTGTATAGTGTGCTCAATAACAGAAGGGAAGGATTTCAGTGTACAAAATGGAACTTCTTCGTCTTCTGGGTCACGCTGAAATATTGGAAGGAAAATTTATTTAAAATCTTAATCAAAATGATTTGCAATCATTGTTATGTGAAGGCAGTACGTTAACAAACAGCAATGRGGGAATTCTTCGATTGCACGTTACGTCATCGCGGCCATGTTGGTGCCATTTAACAAAATATGTCTTATTAGCATCCATTGTAAACGGTACCACAATGACCGCCATGCTTTTGTCTTTTAACTCTCTTGGGAATGCTTGCAATCCATCAATAATAAAGCAATAAAGTATAACACTCATAATGATGAAGCCAACGGTAGTCGTCAGTGTCCACGGCTTTGAGGACGACTCAGTATTTTGTATATTTTAAATGTTTATATTCACTTTCTATTAAATCATTGGTTACTCATTATGCATATGGTAAACACATTTTTTAAACCAAGCGCCGCCCTCGAATAAACGCCGCCTCGAATAAACGCCGCCTCGAATAAACGCCGCCTCGAATAAACGCCGCCTCGAATAAACGCCGCATATGAAACCCAAAAACTGTGCTTATGATTCATGATTTATATATCGCTCTTTTCCACATAGATATGTTAAAAGGCGCTTTATAATGAGTTATGAATGAGAGGTTGTTAGTATGAGGTGTAGGCACCGAGGGTGTTTACCACCCAGTTGTTCTTTTATTAATGATGTAGTGGGGAGAAAAATGACCGCCATTTAAAGTGGTCATCCGAGCCACATGAAAGTTGAACCATTTGTAGATGTAATTTTAATTACAAAAGCAGCACTTTTCCCTCAGTTATTTTAAGACACTGAGTGTTGGTCCTGCCGGGACTCGAACCATGAATTCCAGCACAGCAGTCTAAACGTCAGTCAACGACAACGACTCAAAAAATCCCGTATAACAATGAATGTAAGCTTYATTCGCCTGCGAATTTGAAAAATCGTACAATCCACATACGATAAACTAGCCTGCTCTTGTGGGTTTGGGGGAAAACCGGGGTTTTGGGGGAACTTTGGAACAAGCGAGAATTGAAACCTTTTTTTGCTAGGTCCCATTTTTYTCACGGGCACGTAGTCGAAACAGGAACCCCAAAACCCCGATTCCTCCTCAAACCCATCAAAAGAACGACAAAATATAAAGTTTTACCTGACTTGCATAATTCTCCGTTAGGTGTGGAACTATGATCTAGAAGAAATGAATTGTTAATGATAAGTGTTATCAAAGTATTGGAGACAGGAATTTAGGGCTGATGATTTTAGCTATAACACGATGAATGCGTTAATAAGGAACGGTACTCTTATTATATGGCAAGGTAATTTCATGCGCTATGATTGGTCAATTTGCGGTCCATAACTTACRTTACGGACCRAAAAAATTAAATTGTTCCCTGAGTGTACGTACTTATGATCTTTTAAAACATTCCAGGGGCGTATCCAGGGGGGTCACAGGGTGCCCGTGACCCCCCCTTTCAAAGCCAAAAAAAATCTAACCGCCAACCGTCACCCACGTCGCCTTCTTATGAAAGACATTCTTTTACAGCAGTAAAAAGGTAACTTTTCCTTGATATGTGTTGGTGATTAATTAACATATCTTTTATTGTTTCGTTCTACAGAACGCTTTTTGTTTCAATTATAGCCGTGTACGTCGTTCTATTCCCCTCTATCGACCATGATTCTTTTCGTCAAAATAATAGATTGCTATGACGTCCTATTGACGTCATATGACGTCATAGTGGCAATTTGGAATGTAAGGATACCCCCCCCCCCCCCAATTACAAATCCTGGATACGCCTATAAAAGGCAGGAAAACAAACGGAAGGCTGTAGTATTTTTCATCATTGGTTGTGAATATCTTGAAGTCGAAAGGAAGTCTGAAGTACGACAATTTTCTTCTCAACTCATGTTGAGTTCTTGACGTCTTCTTTTGATGCCTTTTTGCTTTGCATTTACATGTTTTGCAAAAGAAAGCCTCACTTTYGTTAACTAGTATTTCAGAAAACTTTAAACTATAGCTAAATTCATTCGAAGTAAACCAAAACTTCTCTTTCTGAGCGACTCRAACAYTACATGACTTGTGGCACGTACATGAGCACGTACGTTTGCTCGTTCCGTACCCTAAGTTATGGATCCTCTTTATTTCYACTTTTTTATGCCTCTTGCGCTCGGTTAATAAGAGCTATTTACTTACGGTATTCTTACGAATCAAATGTCTTTCTTTATTTATCATTTGCGTTACCTACTTGAACGTGTCCTTTAGCGCCCATTGTTCCAGTTTCTAAAAGACCTCTTTTGCTTTGTACACATCGACTTAAAATAAGAATAATAAATGATTATCGCAACAACAACAACAACAACAACAACAACAAGTTTTGAGTTGAAAATGACCCATAATGTACCCGACATAATGATATATAGATACTTATTTTATTTGCAGAGGTTATGCAAAAGCGCTGTATATATGTTGTAAAACATGCTAAACTTTGTTTGCTTAACTACAAAATTTGGTGGAAAAAAAGTTTTTAACTTGACTTTTTGTAATACTTAAGTCTCTGATATGATAGAATATAAATAATACCAAGTAAGTTACTTTTTGAGTTTTACATCTCATTTGATATCTTGCATCTCATGAGATAGGTGTATAAATGTATACTACGACCTTTCTGCAATCAAGCGTAATCAACGTGTTTGGGTATGGATTGTGCTAATAAACCGTTATTATTGCTATTTATTATTATTATGACAATAACATTTACAACAAATTGTAGGCAGGTGTCAGTACGCGTGCGTGTTAGGTCAGACTTAACAGAAGTAACTTGCGACACTAGATAAAAAAACGTTTGCGCATGCGTGCACTTCAGCAGAACTTTGAAGAGTTTGAGTGAGAAAATAAATGTTTGTTTTCTCCAAGTATACAAAAAAGTTCCAGAGTATACTTTTGTCAGACCAAGATACTGTATTAACAAACACGAGATGAAATAATTAGCCTTAAGTCTCAAGCATTGATACTAAGTTTTGGCATTTTGTGAAGTCCAATCTATCAGGTATGTTTGAAAGTCAAATTTACATATGTTTTGAGTAATGTGCATACGGATTCAGAGCATGCGCAGACGTTTTTCACTCGTTTCGGCGTAAAATAGATGTGGAGATGGTTACTAATTTTCATTTTTCTCCTTGGTGGAAAAGGGTAAATCTTCTTTTAACTGCATGGATCTGTCCTCCAGATAATTATTCCACCGGGTTATCAAAAAAATATTGTTTAAGTTTTCATGTACTTTAATATCCATTCCGATTCCTCTCAATAAATAAAGAGTTATCGATACCGAATACTGGYTTGTTTTCTCCCTACACCACTATATAAACCCCTCCATCATTCTCTTACTCTCATTGACTCCGACGAAGAACTAACGTCCGAAACGTCAGTCTACTATCTTTCGCACCTACGGTGATAAAATTATCTACTACGACACATTTGATACCGAATACTTTTGACAAATGAAAWCAAGCCTGAGAGATTGAAAAAAGACCATGAAACCGTTTAAAAAAATGGGCAATTTACCTGTCAACATATCGCCTGGCTTCAATATTGTCCAAAGCATTTACCACCAAGTCTTGCGACTCAAAGAATTCGCTGCTAAAAATTGACTCCGTTTCTGGAGAGACTAAAATTGTTTTGAATACATGTATTTTAATTAATCTTATTATAATAACAAGGGATACTAATAAAGTTTCAAGAGTACCTTTTTTTCAGAAAACCAAGGATTTATCTTCTATTAATACTAACCTTTGCAAAGAATGGCTTTTATCTGTACCTCTGTAGAATAAAGGAAACATAAACATGTGACATCTTCTGAAAGTATTATTACACATTTACCACACCTATCACAAGACCTAGTTCGCTCCATGTAAGAGAATCCGGAATGATGCTGGAATCCAGATTCCAAGGGCTGGATTCAGTCCGGATTGCATGGGTCCAACTCCAGAAGGCCTTATTTTTTCATTTCCAGATCATTTAGCCTGGAGGCTGGTAAAAATCTACCTGACTATTTTTAACTCGCGTATCGACGAGTTAAAAATGAATGTGAATAAAATCAAACCGCCCTTTGGCAAATRCTGAAATTACAACACTGGATTCTCCTCATCATCTTAAAGATTTCAAATACAACCTGGATTAATACTGACCTACTTAATACCTATTTAACKTTTTTGCAGCTTTTCAAAATTTGGTTGAGAGGAAGAACAAAGACATTTAAATTTAAAGTCATGTATACTTCGTTCCAGGTTCAAGTTGCAAAAGTGCTTTCAGGACCGATCATTTTGTCTACTCATGTTTTGCGCGCCGCGTTCGTCGCTCAGCTGATGAAGAGTGTGTATCATTATTTCATTCATTGTATACACTTTTGTTTTACAATTTTTACCTGGTTTTTATCTTGGACTTGGTACTTTTGACACTTGACCATCGACCAAAGACCAAATACGTGTTCGGCTTACAGAATCAATTTACTTCTATTCGATCGAGGTCTTTTTTATCCACATGATGAAAGATCTTACAAAGTGGACTCCGGATAACAGTATCTGGATTCCAAATCCCAATTTTTTTATTTATTTTTTTTGCGAGAATTGCGGATTTCCCTACATGTGATGACTATTATTACACCTCTACCACACCTATCACGAAACCTATTACCATGACAATTATTATACCTATTACTACACGTACCGGAAAACATGGGGTTTTAAAACTTACTTGGATTAATTTCTTTTGCCGATTCTGCAGCTGTACTTGACTTTGGTTTCTGTGAACAAAGACGAAAATACACTTGGTTATAGTGCCTGTCTTCAGAGTTAGAGGTTTGATCCTTAGGATTGCCACATCTGTTTCGACTTCTTTCTGTTCTTTGATAGTCTTAGGACGCAAAGGGCGCACCTTCAAGCACCGTGAGCCTTTAGTTCGGGAAAATTTGGCAACCACTCCTCGCGTTATCGAAGTAAAATAATTGTCTTTGCTTTTTCCCCYGGAAAGACCACTAAACCCGTCATCGGTCACATTAGAGTGTCGAATTTGCTGCAGGGTCTAGTAACCTAGAACATGATTTGTGCAGCCAGAAGGTAATCATAAACAAACTAGATCTCATAAATAAAAAACAGCCGGTTCACAAACCTGAATATCCCGGGAGCGAAAYAGAAATTGCCTGTTCAGGTTAGATTTTTCGATGACATCATTGTCTGTTATGGTGAGCTGTAGTTAGAAAACAACCGGGTTAAGTATATAATAAGATGTTTCACCGTATATCCTTAGGTACATTACTTTAATACGGTTAATGTCACCGTATTTCCTTAGGTATATTATTTAGTACGGTTAATTTCACCGTATATCCTTAAATAGTGATGGAGTTGGGATTGCAATGCATTGTGGGACTGTATTAATGGACATATTTCCAGGATTGCCTCTATTGCGTCCCCTGAAACAGTCCCCCACAATGCAGTGCAATGGCAACTCGACCAAGTGTTTTCCTGAACCTCGGAACGACTAAACTGTGTGTTACGCTAACTATTTTTTCACGGGCGAAAAGTGCCAAGTAAAATGACTCTAACACAGCCTTGGCCTTCATGATTTCAAGCTCAACCTCAAACCAATAATGGTTTATTATTATTATTATTATTATTATTATTATTATTATTATTATTATTATCATCGTCACCGTCATCGTCATCATCGTCATCGTCATTCTTATCTCATTATTATTAGTAATATTATTCATATTATTMTTGTTGTTGCTATCATCATTATTCTTATTGGAAGACATCAAGTATATACCTGTCCATTAATTCCAGTAGAAACTCCCAAAAGGGCAAAGTTCTTTAAAAATTCGCATCCGATAGCACCACATCCAACCTGAATAAAAAGACGGGACAATGCCTGTCAATATGTATTCGCGGTGTTCACTWAACTGAGTTATTTCACGGTAAAAGACGAGCGCGCGCACGGCTGATGATAAAATTAGGCTTTTTTTGATCAAATGTTCATGTTTTTTAAAGCATAATAATTCCAAAACTGGTTGGTCAAATCATTTTATTTCTGGATATGTTATTTCAAATATTTCACTAATCGCTTTYCAAGCGTAAGGGCAAAATTTATCGACAAATATCTCTCCCGCGAGAGATCAAAATCTGATTACTCATCACTCCTCAAATAACTCAATCTGGAACTCCAATTCCAATTCCAATATTCCGGTCCAGATTTTGACATACGTAATTAGGCCGTCGCGACGAGGTATATTTGATCAAGAACTCTCTCAGAACTCTCTCAGAATTGCTTTACATTTTATTGACAGCTGGTACATGCTAATTGATAGAACTCTATAGCAGAAGCCTGCAAAGGTCCCCTGGGTAATGTYCCGAAGACCTCTGGGTACTATTGCGCAACTTGTCTATTTTGGTGGGGGAGGAATCAGGACAGGAAAAAAACATATTAGGTATTTTATGACTGGTTTATCACAGGTAACCGGGTAGAAAAYCTAGCAACTTGTTCAATAAGGAATGTACACGAGCACGAATGTCTAGCACAAAGCATGATGGAAAACCGAGTACTACACAAATTAGAACAAAGAAATCGATAGAATTATCAGAAAAAAAATCATTCTTCTATTTTCGTCTCTTGAAATACTTACAGTTTCATAGGAAGTGTCGAAGGAAAAATTGTCAGAGAGATTTTTAGAGGAGCTGAAAAGCCGTAAGTACTCGGTTTYCCATCATGCTTTGTAACAGAGATTCGTGCTCGTGCACTTTGGTTATTCTATTCGTACTTCGTCAACATAAGCCGTGCGCATGCGCTAAAGGAAAACCATTTCAAGCCTCCTTAAACAGTAGTCAAGTGAGGTTTAACTTACCATGAAAAGTTTAGAGTTGTGAAGCTTGTTTATTAAATCTTCTCCTATACATATTCTTAACGAATCATAACGATCTGATCTAAAAATAAGCAAGTTTTTTCGATAAGGTTTCACGCATCTATCTGCAAATAGACGCCATCTTGGGAATGTCCCCTAAAACAGCCCTAAAATGCACTGCAATGCCAAATCGACCCAGTTTTCCCCTCAACTTCGGAATAGCAGATTGACAAAACATCTCATTGTCAGGTTTTCCAAGATTTTACATAATAAATGTAAATCATACTAGAAGTAAAAGCCAATAACAATGGAGGTTACCAACTTCGTTTAGCCATCAGATTGTTTGGAAGCAAGAGACCATAAAGGATTTCCTTCACTGTCTCTTGCTGGAAGTTCACCCTTTCGCGGTAAAATCCGTGAGATGCAAATGTGTAAAGCGGCCAAAAACAAGCCATATTTAGATGAAATATAAATTAATGGTTCCCAATTTTTAAAGAACTCTATAACATAACCCGATGCTGCTTAGCATTTAATCTTTATGTCGAAAATCAAAAATATAATAAATGTTATAGCCTAGTCAAGGCTTTGAGTGAAGTGAAATTTCAATTATGCACAATATATGAGATTTCAATTTGATCCTATTGCGACATATTTTAACTTTAGTTGTAAAAGCATAAATAAATCGTTCGTCTTGCTTCGATGCAAATTAAGGCACGGCTACCTTTCAACATGGCGCAGGTAACTGTGAAGGGGACTATACTGACAACGAGAATTCTAGAACTGCTAGAATTACTGGAAAACGTTGAAATGTATATTATGGAATGCTTAAAATGTTTGGTACTAAATCAACTGAATTATAGYTTGTAGTTAAAAGACATACCGTGGAGTAAATGAAGATGTATCGACAAGATCTCCTTGTTGTTTTAATATTTCTACTGTATCAAGATATAGCTGAAAAAAATCAGGTTACAAATGTGAAGTATCGGTACATTTTATTGTATTTTGTTTCTTATAGTTCAGGGCCAGGTTGTACGAAGCTGGATAGCGCTATCCAACGGATAAATCTTATCCAGTGGATAAATTTATTGGAAAACAACGACTTATCTACTGGATAAGGATTTATCCGGCAGATAGCGCTATCCAGGCTTCGTACAAATCGGCCCAGCTGTTTACTAAACCATAGGTAGTCCAAGTTCTCTTAGAAACCTTCTGTATGTCCTCCGACAAGGCGTTAAAAGGTGGTTATACGAAAGTCGCAAGACTATTTTTCGAAGCGTACAAAGTTCCAGTTATTGCTGCCAAAATTTAAAAGAGCAAAGAAAAAAAAGCAAAGATAGACCAGTTGCATAAAGCTCTCTTAAGATAAAAAAGCTTAAAAACATTCGTAAGTATTGTCTTAGTACAATGGCCTATTGTTTTGGAACAATACTTACGGCTGCTCTTATCTTAAGAGAGCTTTATGCAACCGCACCCTGGCCACAACACGTGACAAAAACTATTGTGATGATGGTTGACATATATATATAACATTAATCATTGYACTAACCCATTGTTTCAGCGGCTTAAACTTCCCAGTAAGCGCCTTTAACACTTCCTGAGCAGCAACACCACCCATCGAAGCAGAAAGTGGTGCGAAATACCCTTGACTAACGTACGACAAGGATCGTATTGTATGCCAATTCTGTTCAAGTGAAAAGAGAGTATAATCAAAAGTTGTAAAGGGCATCAATAGAAATAGCAGAAGATTTCAGTTTATATCGTCTGAAAACATGCCATAAAATCCCTGGGCTCGTAAGGGTTTTTAAATGGGCTGACAAAACGGGAGGGTGCGGCATTGTAACCGRGAAACTGAACGTCAGATAATTCGTCGGTAACCAAACGAGCAAGAGACAGGGTCCGACTTTGAAAAACTAATTAAATTAAGGTTCCAGAACAAAGTGCCTAATCACATGGAAGAGCAACGTGCAACAAGCTCACTGACCAATGTTTGTCCATATACTAACAATGTTATGGGCATTCCAGCCAAATTTTGTTAGTTTTAAGCTAAGATAAGCAGTTTTGCTGAAAAAGAAAAAATGTGTCCTAAGGAAAGTATMACTCCCCCACTTTCTCTACGTGACAGCATTCAGCATTTCATAAAATTGACTCAGCACACATCAATCACCAACCAAACATCACTCGATTTATTTTCAGCCTAAATAGCAATTTGATGGGCCAATGAAATAGATAGATAGATGTGGAATCCCCTAGTATTCCCTATGGTCAGATTTATCACACTCATTTCCCCAAAAATGAACGTACCTTAATTGACGAGCTTGAATTTAAGGTAGAAGCAATTTGTACAAGCTCTGTCGCATCGTTGGGACTTCTACGAAATGGCATAAAATTCATCACTCATAATAGTCCCCTTCACAGTTCCCTGCGCCATCTTGAAAGGTAGCCCTGCCTTTACATCGAAGCGAGATGAACGGTGAGCTTTGCAATGATAGAGACGTTTTTTAACACCTTCCACAATTACTCACGTGTCTCTATTATTGCAAGCTCACCGTTCATCTCGCTTCGATGTAAAGGCAGGGCTACCTTTCAAGAAGGCGCGCAGGGAACTGTGAAGGGGACTATTTTTATCACTAAYGCAGATCGATCGAATAAACTAAAAAATTTGTGACAAAACCAAAAACCACTTGGAAAAGTCTGTCAAGAGATTCTTTTCAATCAAAATATAATAACAGTTTATGATCGGGTTCAGCTTCATCTACTACAAAAAAATCCCACTAGGTATTGAATAATTTTTATCGTCTCTATGGTACTTATTGTAGTACAGCATATCAAGTGGCACAAACCTTATATAGGGAAGGCGTCCAAACTTTTCCTGAAATAGATGCAGTGCTTGCATTCCAACGTGAAGTTCTTGATAAAGCTTTTAAAAATACAGAACAAAAACATGTTTCCTATAGTGCCAGGTTTGAGCCAGGTTTTTAAACAGAAGAAATTAAATTTATAACATAAAATACTTACAGATAATTTACTGAAATCTGCTATTACAAGGTCTGGTTTTTCTAACTGGTCTTCTAGAGATTCCTGTACAAGATAATCAAACCCACTTCAATGCTAGCTTGCGCTGTGTCCTCAGCGCAGCCCGACGTTTAACCCCCAGTCCCACTCCCCCACCCCTCCCCCTATCACTCCGCTTCCTATAAACTGCTGCTGTCACAACTGCTACTACCTTGCTGTTTTTAGCCTCAGTCGTTTTACCAAGTAAACAATACTCCTTACACGAAAACATTTGTATTGGACTTTGGGCTCCCTGTGGAAACCCAGAAGTTTAGGTGTATTTTAGTGGTGTCTATGCATTCATATACTTTGATAAAGTAAAATCATACATACGAATGTCAGATAAAATGGTGGTGGTTTCTGCAGGCAGCCAACACCTCCATACATATAAGACTGGAATTCTGGTCCACTTGTATCACATATTGTGAAGGCATATGGCGATAGAACTATGAAAAAAAGTGTTTAGTTAGCACAGCCATAAGGACAATAAAAAAGAATACGCCTCAGGGGTGGATCCAGGATTTTGTTCAGGGAGGGGTGCTGCGCACAAAGTTAACCCAGGGAGGGGTGCACCCCTTAGAATCAAAGGTAAAAAACATTATTTTGCATTGGTTATCTTCGAAGTAAGGGAACAGAGTTGAACCAGGGAGGGATGCGCACCCCGTGCACCCCTCCCTTGGATCCGCCACTGCGCTTCATCAAAACAGATTTGATATGAAAGTGAAACCTTAGTTTCTGAAYGTGATGTACCGTAATTGCAGTTAGAGGAATTCCAATGATGAGTAATAACGTGGCGAGCCGTGACTTGTTCATTGAAGATCATCAATTTCATAATACCGACGACTGACGTCAGTCATCATGAGAAAATATTTCACAGAAAAAATTGAATTTGACAATGAACAAGTCGTCAGTGACACTAGAGAAAAACGTTTGCGCATGCGTACACTTCAGCACGTTTTCTAAGAACTTTGAAGAGTTTGAGTGAGAAAATAAATGTTTGTTTTCTCCAAGTATACAAAAACGTTCGAGAGTATACTTTTGTCAGACCAAGATACTGTATTAACAAACACGAGTTGAAATAAATAGCCTTAAGGTTCAAGCATGGACACTAAGTTTTGGCATTTTGTGAAGTCCAATTTATCGGGCATGTTTGAAAGTCAAAATTACTTATGTTTTGAGTAATGCGTATACGGATTCAGAGCATGCGCAGACGTTTTTCACTCGTGTCGTCGCCAGTACTAAAACAGGGTATAGAATAAAAGCAAACTATCATATAGACAAATATCTTCAATACAATAGTGTACCGCCGAAATATCGATGCCATAGGCTTTCACCAACAGGTGGCACATGAAGGGCAATTAAGTCTATCTGGACATTACCTTCAGTAACTGTTTGAACGGTATCATTCAACGATGACATCCCAACAATTTCTTTTAACAAGACGGTGTTTCCTTTTTCCAGCCCATGAAATGTGTTATCGAGGGTCGTAACTACTCCAGGGTTAGCCTGTCAACCAAACACAAAGGTATTACTTAGTAGAGTATGACTGGGGAAAAAGCGGTGTCGTGAGAGCTGATTGACCACATCTCATTGACCAATGAGTGGTATACAAGAATGTATGTAGATTTTAAAAACCCGTGAATATTAAAGTATCTGGAAGCACTGGAGCGAGAGAGCCTCTGGAACCCAGGCCATGCAGGGTAATATATATGCCGAGCACAACATAAAATCGATTGTTATATACCAACTGTCAAAGTACTTTTTCCTCGTTCTCTGATTGGGCGAGAGGGCATCACGTGAACGTGAACAAGTTTCGTTGTTACCCCGGCAACGGCTTTCAGCGGGCAACAATATGTCCATGAACCAGACACGAACTAAACTCTAATGGTCGCCGTTCTGCATTTACCAGTCTCATTAATCGCAAACGCCCGGAACGTCACTTAATTGGCCATGTTCCTAGGTCAAAAGAGTGTATTTTCCTAAAACGCTTCCTTAAACACTTTATTGCTTGTACCTTTGAAATATTTCCAATGAAAAAGGTCTTCGGTTCTTCTGTCCAGGTATCCAAAACTTTAAATTCAGGGCCAAAGTCACAAAACAGAGAAGCAAAAACGCCAAATATGTTGCAGCTGATGAACTAAAAGTAAAAGAAAATTGGTATGTGTGGAATCAGCACAAGTATGGCACACACCACCATGTATTTTAGTGATGGGTTTGCAAGCATTCCCAAGAGCCCCCCCCCCCCCATCAATTATCTAATGGTCCATCCCTTAGGTTAATTTTATAGTAAGGAATGTACGCGCTATACGGAAAAGTCACTATGCTAGAGCTAATGCTAGGCCAAATAGCAAATTATTGTCCAATCATATCAAGATCCATCCTGGTAAGACCCTATCTGCCATGCCATACGACCACATTTTGGATTCCAAACCACAAGTGCACATTTCATCGACTTTGACTCCATTGTATTGCAACCAGACGAACTTACAGAAGATCATGGCCTTTGTACAGTAGTGTTTGCTCAAAGTCAACGATTTAATACACCAAGTGAAACTATACAAAATCATGAAGAGCTGTCTTCCACTACAGAAGAGAATTTTGTTTTCCTAACATGATTAAGGCTAATCCATCCAGCGCTCCACAAACTCGTAAAACAACGTTATAATAACAAACTACGATCACGCACCCTGCCTTAGATTAAACCCGAAATCTTCCAAGCCCCTAGCTCTCTGCTAGACGAGATACGCAATGCAGACGACGCTAAAGTCCTATGAGCCGGAGCCACACCGCTCTACAAGCCAGTCCCCAAGACATCGATTAGACCAAGTCGACCCGAAATAAAATGAACTCTTTGCAAACAGGCGAGCCACCAAAACTTTAACCACTTCCTCAGCGAAGCCAACTTTCTTCCAGAACAAGTTCAAAAGTATATGGTGAAGGATAGACGATCCAGACCACACCACAGATGACTAGTGTACGGCCGCGAGCTCGAGAGTAGTGAACAACTCCGAGAACATGCGACGCTACGTAAACAAGTTTGCTGGTCACCCTACCTAGACACTTTCTACAACCATCATACTGTACGTGATGAAGATGACAGCGGAGCCACTGGTAACCCGATCCGCTTGAAATTCCGTTTTGAAATGTTCATATTTGAACAGGAAAACTTTGCCTATATTTCTGCCAACCCTAAGACTGTTGCGAGCTGTAGAAATGTAGATATCGAGGATTCAAGCTCCAAAACTCCCCMCACATTTCCTTTTATTTTGCGCTGGATCCAATCACGTTAGACCCAGCAACAAATAAGAGAAAACGTATGGGGATACTGATATAGTTTGTAGTAATTGTAACTATTGAAAAAGGCCTTGGAAATTTGAACATAGCATATGTTTTCACCAGGACAATGCATACATTCGTACTTACTTGAATTGGGGGGTTTTGTGTGCGGCAAAAATTGTCAACTTTACGTTGTAAACTCAGTGAGGCATCTGTTAGAACCACACACTGTGAAATAAATAGGTTTTCGTCAAATAAACAATACCATGATCAACAGGGCTTTTGATTAAGTGTGACGTCACTCATAAGGAAAAACTACTTCCGACAAAAAACGACACCGAATAGCTCTGAGTTCTATTAAGATTTTTCTTGCTTTTTCTTCGTTTTGTATATTTCCATTATGGCTGGTTGCAACATATTCAAACTCTTACCTGATAATCAGTTAAAAACGCCAAGTTATTYTCCTCAATATCACGCATATCTGTCTGTACTGAAACGTATGGATTCAGCTCTGCGATACGTCGTCCACATTTTTCTGCCCTTAAATATAATATGAAAAATATTTACGCTGAAATCACAGTAAGATAACTTACTACCAAGATATTTAGATAAACGTTCACATATTCCTCCCATCAGTCCCATACATACTTAGCACGGAACATCGCACAACCTTAGGTTTAGTATTAGGGATGTTTTGAARGTTCCAGTTGTGATGGCGGTAGAGTTTGGAGAAAATATAATGCAATCAATAGATTTTTTCAAACTCGTCAGACAAAATTATGACAATCTATTTACCAAGTATCTGAAGTTTTATTGGAATCAAGCGATTTTGAGCGAGCAGGAGGACAATATTGTGAAAAACCACTGTTAGAAAATAGGCTCTTAACGCGAACTACTATAAGTGAGTGAAATTGCATACCCTGTTTATGATAAGAAGCTCGAAAAACCATACCCTGTTCAGCGGATCATCCCAGTATAGTTCATATATGGGAGTACCCCCCCCCCCCCACCCGGGGTAAAACTAGGTCAGTTAAAACTTCTCTTACTTTAATAAGTGACTCTTGACTTACCTGTTCTTTTGCATCAAAACATCCTCTTCTTCAAGAAAGAAATTGGAGCCCAAATCTAAATATGTAGCTGGTTTTGTATCATGGAGAATCAATGACTGCATAAAAAAGAATCAAACAGAGAATAAAAAAACGTTTTTTTTTTTATATGAGGTCAAGATAATGTCCTCTGTAAAGTGAAAAAGAAAATTGATTGATAAAAAATGCACTAGAACATTTTTATCGTGTGCGCCTATGTTTTTCTATATAATTTACCGATGGTATCTAACGTCATTGAAATGTATCAATACTGTAATCTGTAAAAGTATCCATTATACATAAGTATTTATACTCTAATCTGTAAGTCAGAGTATTAATTACACAGTACATATCAACAACATTTATACATGTACCATATTGGAATTTTATAGGAAAACAAAAGTGCGCATGAAAAACAATGTTCTAGTGCATTTTTTTCCATTTTTTTCTTTAGAATTAGCAAAGATTTCCATGATGAAGCATTGTTTTTGCTGTGAATTAATCATGTACAGCACAAGGTCAGCCTCACTTTTATACCAATTTTAAATGGCTGCTTGCTCATAGTAGTCAATGTGGTCAATTATTTGGTAGTTAATTTCTTCACAAACCTTGACACCAGCTAGTGCTACATTTTTTGCTGAAGAAAAAGCAAAATTTTTAATTACAAAATGCTCAGGTTAATTAATTTAAGAGAGAGAAAGAGAGAGAAAGGAAGTGACAACCAAACTGCCAACATCTCAACGAAAATGTATGAGTTATTACTGCTACTGTAGTGCTCATGTTTATCATA